GAATCACAGAGTAACATGCAGACCCAAATGTGGGAATCACAGAGTAACATGCAGACCCAAATGTGGGAATCACAGAGTAACATGCAAACCCAAACCCTAGAGTTGACATTTATGAGGCATTGGTGTCAAGTCTCACAATTTTATTTTGTCTATCTCACGGCTGTGTGATGTAAATCTCGCCGAATGTGATACCATTAAACCAAACAAAACCGTTTATTTCAGTATCAGAATTGACATGCTGTGAAGGCTTATCTGAATACAAAATATATGCTGGGGTGGTCTCTGCTGTGATCCTGGGTAGTGAAGTACCTTGGTGACACTGCTGTCAGCTGTGCCCAAAATGGCAGAGACAAGTCACTCGGATGCAAAACGCCCAAAGTTTTCAGTTCAGTTGAGCCTTCAGTATGATTGTTTCGAGAAATCAAAACAAGTTGAAAACTGGTATGTTTGGTAAGGCGGAATGAAAGGTGTGATGGCAAATCTGTTTAACTGCACAAATGATTTAGTACTGTAATAGAAATAATAATTATAAAAGCAAAAGAGCATTTTTTTTTTTTTTTTGATGTGACAGTTTTCATTGATTTCCATCACCCAACTCGCTGTCATGATTGTTGTTAAGTTGACATGTATAAGTAGGTTCTGTTATGAGTTCAGCAGTGACACTAATGTAGTACATAATGTGTTGTTACAATAAACAGAGAAGTGTGTTTGGAGTATTTGGAAAGACGCTGTAATATTGTGTGTGATTATAATAGTGTGTGTGTGAGTATAAGAGATGTGTGTTTGGAGTATTTGGAAAGACACTGTAATAGTGTGTGTGGGTATAAGAGATGTGTGTTTGGAGTATTTATACAAGACGCTGTAATTGTGTGAAAGTATAAAAGATGTGTGTTTGGAATATTCGAAAAGATGCTGCAATAATGTGTAAGAGTATAAAAGACGTGTGTTTTGAGTATTTGGAAAGACGCTTAGTGTGTGTGACAATATGAGACATATGTTTGGAGTATTTGGAAAGAGACATGAGTAACTCGTCCCACAATCAAAGCCAGATCAGAGCGCGCTGCCTCTCCAGCTCCATGGTGCAGAAGCACAGAGATAAAGCCCCATACAATATCCTGAGGCGGCATTAGACCTTCAGATAAAGGCCCCCGCTCCGTGTCAAAGAAATATCACTGTTTATCAGCAGCTGCAGTTCAAACAAAGCTCAGCACGGGGAAGAAACCCGTAAAGGAGCCTTTCCTTTATCAGTAGCTGGGTGGTGGGGGGGACTTTTCTGTAGTTTCGTTAGTTGCTAGGAAATGAGTGGAGGGCACCCCCCCACATCCGTCTGCCCGGAGACCGCTGGTGCTTCTGCCTGGTTGCCTACCTGTTGATATCTACCGTTTAATATCCTCCCCGTGCCTCAGAAAGCAGACAGAGGATATGGAACAAGCAACACCAGGCAAACAAGTCACGCCTGTAGCACTGTCAGCAGGCCGCCAGCAGGGGCACTGTGCTTGTTTTTGAATCCCCGTTTTATGAAGTTAAGAAGTGAAATTCATAATGATCATCTTTCTAATTAGTGGCAGTACCTTGCAATGCAGTTTAATAATCCAGACCGCCAAAAAATTTCTAAATATATATATTTTTTGAATCTAATGGAAATTACACATTTTTATTTAGCAACCAGCTGAGAAACAGTGTGTTAAGTGGTATTGTTGCATGAATGCAATTAAATAACCCAAATGCAAATAAGCTATAAATTCCAAGGGAGGCTCAGAATTTAAAGAGAAGTCTGTCATTGATCTGTCTTGTCAAACAAACATGCATTTAACATTAAAGTTAAAAGTTTAATGCATTCTTGGTTGCAATTGTTTGTTTGTTTTTGTATAGTTTGCGGATTCCTTCAACTTTAATCCTCACAAGTGGCTCTTGGTCAATTTTGACTGCTCTGCCATGTGGTAAGCTTATTTTTTCTCCAAATTGATACATGATGTAATTTTATATCTGTCCAACATTGTCATGTGCATGATTTTAGGAATGTGGACCGATCTTTGCTTGAGAATTAGAGACAACAGAATAGACTCCAAAGATTGATGCTATGTGATTTTGGGCTTGTTCCCAGTAAACATCCAATGCTGTGTGTAAACTGATGATAGAGTCCATGTATCTTTATTTAGACAAGATGATACTCTCTTTGAAGGAACAGGACTTTTTCAGACACCCTTCAATGGGGATTGTAGAGTGCAAAAAGATGCATTTAGATTTTATTTATTTAGCAGTTTCTGGGGTATTTGGGGTTAAGGGCCTCACTCAGGGGCCCAATGGAGAAATCACTGTGCTGACCCTGGCGACCATAAAGTTTTCGATTACAGACACAGCATCCTAGCATGCTGAGCTGCACGCCACTCGCGGTGCTCCTTCCTCCACCTTCAGTCGTGGTCTTTTCGGCCGTGTCCCGCTTCTGTGTGGATAAACACAGAGGCGGAAAATCCAGTAAGTTCAGCAATAATCAGAGGAAATATTAGTTGAACCAAATAGATGACGCATCTTTTGCCCGAATGTCTGCTTGTTCTGCCGCCCCAGCAATAAGCATAAAAGATCACAGAAAAACAAACACTTTGCCATCTTTCCCTGGCATGGTATTTAACATCGGTTGATATTGATAAAACCCTCCTCGTCATCACATAGGTCACAGGAAACGTATCCTTGTGTGTTTGTTTATAAACGACAGCGATGATGATGGCTTTAATGAGCCCACTGACACTCAAAGGCTAAAAGGGTGTTTTGTAAGCTTCGTGTGTGGAGGCAACGAGGCTGACTCACTCGGAGAGGTAGGAAGGCGCCTCCCAGCGAAATGCCGCTTTGGGGCAGTATTCTCCAGCCATCATTCAGTAGTCAGCCATCAGGTAAATCGCTCACTGGCAGGCGTCTGGCAGCCCTTGGATATCACTGTAAACATCAGCCCTTCTGTTATATATTCATAATTTCTCTTGGACACCTGTATGAACAGGGGCGAAGTGCAGTGAATGAATGATGAACGGATTCACAATTTCTGCAGATGGCAAAAACGCACAAGATTGTTAGTTTCACCAGAAACAGTGTGTGGTATCCACCCCCCCCCCCACACACACTTATTACCTTTCTCATGTGATGTCCTCGCAGTATATAAATCAAGTGACTGATGACATACTTATGATATTGCATCTTAAAGAGCTGCCTTTGTGGCGTCCTTGAATATATGAAACTTTCTTACTGGAACATCTTCTAATAAAACGAGATCTTGCTCTTCATAGCTTGGGGGTCACAGGGCAGGGTCAGTCAATGTGTGACTCCCCTGGAGCTGGGGGATTAAGGGCTTTGCTCAAGGGCCCACGAACATATGATTGTTCTGTTAAGACTGCGGCTTTAACTGGGGAATCTTCTGATCATGGGCACAGAGACGTAGCCCCGCCAAACCACGTACCACCCACTGAAGATTTGCATGCTGTACCTGTGATCATTAGGTCACTGGTTCACATCCTGATCCCTCAGGATGGCCCTTAACCCCTGACCCTGCTTTTTCTCTCTGGATAAAAGCATCTACTATATAATATAATATAATATAATATAATATAATATAATATAATATAATAGCCATATATATATTTGAGAAATGGATGTATTTCTCATTGCATTATTTTTATTTTTTGCCATGAATGAACCATCAAGAGTGGAATTGTGTCTCTGTGTCAATGATCCCAGGGTGAAGAATCGATCCGACATCATTGGTGCTTTCAAGATGGACCCACTGTATCTAAAACACGATCACCAGGAGTCAGGTACATAATTTTCCGTTGAGAAATACACACACTGACCATTTTATTATCTTATATTACCCCAACCATTCAAGAAAACACCTTGTAAATATAGCTGCTTAAATCACGACAGAAGGACACGTATAAATTTACTTGCAGTAAGAAAGGAAGCCCAAGGGAGGCAGTGTAAACGTCATTGGCAGGATCCATCACTTTATCCTGCTCAGAGAAATTACCCCTTTTAATGTCGTTTAATCTCAAGCAGCTAGTATTTTATTGACCGCAGCAGACTGGGTGCGTACCTGCTTTATGGGTGATATTACTCACACGCAGGATGTACATCAGACACATACATGTGGTTATGATCTGGGCCTTGGATGCTGACGTCACATAGCAAACCAGGGCCAGCAGGAGACCTTAGTTCCATTCACTCTTTCAAAAAAAAAAAAAAACCACAAACTGCCCAAAAACAATTACTCTCTGGCCGCTGTACCCCCTCAGGGCAACACGTGTTCTGTAGCTTTGTACCTTAACCCCTCACATCCCCTGGCCGTAGCCTGGCTCCGTCACTCCACTCCACAGACGGTGATGCGGCCGGGTCCATTGCCGCGGGCCATTTGTGCGCTGACAGGAAGACAAAGGGTGGCTTTGTGTCGCCCCCATCCCCATCTTTTGTGTGGCGCTCACCTGTTCCTGGCGCGCCGTCTCTCCGCAGCACGACCGCAAAGCGAAATTACAGATGAGGCGAAATTGCTGGTTACTAAAGCAGCCCTTGGATTTTATCTGGGTAATTTAGCTGCCTGGCCAGGCGCTTGCAGGCGGGGGCGTGTTTGATGTCAAAATGCTCCTAAATCGAGAGAGATGGGTCTGAAATGGCATTTCTGATGCAGCTCTGATGCCTCTGAAACAATAACCCTGCATATGAAATCTACACAATATAAACGTGCGGACCGCAGTATTATTTGATGATAAAGGTTTTATAAATCTGTTGCTTTCTGTTACTGTCCAAGTATCATTTCTATAAATTTTTATTTTGTCTTGCTTCAGGGCTGGTGACAGACTACAGAGTAAGTACATGTATGTGTGTCTGTCCTTGTGTGTGTAAATATTCTGCCTGTAGGGAGAAGCCTGGGCTTTGGTGGTCTGTCCATAATCCTGTGTCTGCTTTTTCTGTAGTGTATGACGGACAGGTGTAATATGTCTGTTGCCATCTGTTGCCCTGCCACAGTGCCGTAGCTGCTCTCACTGCTTCTTCATTAGTCAGTGATGTAATTAGCTTGCTGTCCAGACCTCTATTGCACTGCGATTATTGCTAAGCAGGCCTGTGTCCGGTATTCAGGGGAAGCTGGGTATCACTCTTTTGTTACTACTAGTGACAGATTACTATTAAACACTCTCCAGTATTCACTGTTAGATACCCCCCCCCCATGATATTTTTAAAATACCTTCCATACTCGACCACTGTTAATAATCCCTCAATACTAACTGTTAACTACCCCCAATACTCACTGCTAAATACTCCTGATATTCACTGTTAAATTCCCGCCATATTCCATGTTACCCCCAAATACTCACTGTTAAATACCCCCCCCATACTCACTGCTAAATGCTCCCCTCTCCATACTAACCACCCCACAGCACTGGCAGATTCCACTGGGCCGGCGATTCCGCTCCCTGAAGATGTGGTTTGTCTTCCGGATGTATGGGCTAAAAGGCCTGCAAGCCTATATCCGAAAGGTACTGTAACTCACCCACCCCCTTCTGTCAGCCCAGGAGACTTTTTTTATTGCTTTTTCCCTACATTCTGAATTAGGTGTCATTTCAATATTAAATGTGTCAAGTTTCCGTTCTGCCTGCAGGAACATTCGTCCTACCCGCTGACAGGAGTCTGTACCCTAATGTAATCTTACTTTCCTCCTAATTGACATTAGAGCTGTGGTACCAGTAACTTGCACAGCACCTGAGTATCTCCGGTAACTTAGTATTTCAAGCAGTCTGCCGTTTCCTGCTGGCCTATTTTCAGTTGTAAAATACTATCTGAAAACTGCCAGTTCTCAGAATAACATTCTGCCATCCTTGTTAATGTTCTGTCTTCATTAATCATCGAGTATTGTTGGATCACCAGTGTTAAAAGCATAGAGACGCTAAATGAATACTGTGAATGTCCATGCATTTTGTACAGAGACACTAGGCAGCCACCTAGTGGCAGAATAAAACATTTACAAAGTGACAGAACAATCAAACTGGACATTAATATTTGTGTGTGTGATTTTACAGCACGTGGCCCTTGCCAAGGAGTTTGAGGGGCTTGTTCTGGCTGACGGGCGCTTTGAGATCAGCGCGGATGTCATCCTGGGTCTTGTCTGCTTCAGACTCAAGGTAGCAGGAGCGTATGGGGCTGGAACTTTCCAGAGCATCCACAGAGATGGTGTTGGAGGCTCTGATCCTTGGCTCTTTCCCCCCCACAGGGATCTAACGATCTAAACGAGACCCTGCTGAAGCGCATTAACAGTGCCAGGCGGATACACCTGGTCCCCTGCCAACTAGAGGGCAAATTCGTGCTGCGCTTTGCCATCTGTGCCCGCACCATCGAGTCCCGGCACGTGCAGGAAGCCTGGGCACACATCGTCCAGGTGGCCTCGGAGCTGTAGCTGCTCACCTCTCACAGCAGCGACCTGGCCATACCTTCACCTGTGTGTCTGCATATTCATGTCGAGTATGAAGAGAAAGTGTCATATTGTTTGTGAACTGCAGGGGGCACAGTTTGGTAACACATTTTTAAAGACAGAAATCAACAGAAATCAAAAACAAAAATTAGGTTTGAACTGGTTTGAATCTTTGAGTGCGGTGAAAGAATTTTATTCAAAAAATCTAATTGGTTTGTAAAAAATGACTGTTTATAACCTGAATGACAGATGGGGCCTGGGTCCCAGTGATGCTGTTCTGGTCAGTTTACACTGCAGTTACCCAACCCAGTCCTCGGACATCCACAGCCGGTCCACATTTTTGCTTCCTCCCAACTCCCTACCAGACACACTACATTTTTGCTCCCTCCCAGCTCCCAGTAAGCAAAATCATGGACTCTCTGCAGGTCCCCATGGACTGGATAGGGAAACAATGGTCTGCAGGGCTGCATCTTAAAGGGATGCTCCTCCCCCCTACCTCCAAATCCCCATCAGCGACAGGCCAGCCTTTCTAAAGATATAGATAGGATCTGACATGAGGAGAGGTCAGGTCAGTTTATCCAGCTGCTTGAATTCTTTAGCCAGCTTCAGGTGGCTGCGGTAGGACCAGAGAAGGGCAGGAGTGTGTCAGATTATCAAGATTATTATCCTTGATTAACACAGTTAATCAGTTGGCAATCAGGAACTTCCTGTTCTCTGTGTTTACAGTAACCACTTCTGAGGTACCAAATAGCCAGCAGATCGGCCTTAATGCTGCATGCATTAGCCAGGCCATTTCCGTTATGTTTTTGCAGATTATACCAATATCTGCAAAAAAAAATAGGCAGCCATGTTATTCTGTGTGATGTACATAATCTCTGTGATGTGTATCGTCTGTTTCTCTGGCTTTCAGGAATAAAGTACAAAGAGAGTAAAAACATCCCACAACTAGTTATCAATGTACTGATGCGAAAGCATTGGTGTTACAGCTCTGTGATGAGTGGTATCTGGAACCACCTGGTTTGAGAATCAGCGCTAAAACAACGTTCAGCGTTCAATGTGGAAATGAATGCCTTCATAAGTGCTTATTTCATAACTGGATGTATAAAATGCAGTCTGCATTAATGTTTTAATGTTCATAAGAAGTATATAAAATGCATATCTAAAATGCCTGTTATGGATACATTACTTAGTTGTGAGCTGCGTTTAGAACATCCCAAAAAAAAAAACTCCCATGAATGTAAAATTTTGGATGCCCAAACACTTTACTGATTGTCTGATATTTGATTACAGGTCAATAAAACGGTAACACGATACAAACCAAGGTATGATTTTGTTAGAACAGAATTACTGATGCAGTATTGTGCTTATTTACAAAAGGAAAACAATGATGATTTTATTTTTAACATCACAGTTGGCTGCCAGACCCCTTGTAATATACTGTCTCTGCAAACAGCCCATCTTGTGTAACAGGGCGGGTCCCCGTGCGGCTCTGCTCTGCGGCTCTGCTTCCAGGCATCCGCACCAGTTCCCAGCTCCCTCCTGAATCAGTGTCTACTTTTCCGGAGCTGCAGTGTTAATGAGTCTCAGTGCAGCACAGGGGAAAATGCTGCGCTTGTCCTGCTTGGTCGAGTTTTTTGTCCTCATCATCACAGCCCTGTTTGATTCCGAATGAGTACAAGTTGTAAATGTAACTCCTCCCCATGTGATTTACCTGTTTTTATTGCTTACACTGTTTACAGCAGTGTGGGACTGGAGGTGCCGTTGGCGCAGGGTCATAAACATGTAGATTCCCCAAGAAAATACAACTGGTGTGCATATGTGCTGCAGTGTTAAAGAAATAAATATTGTTATATCATTATTATTTGTACCCCATGTAATATTATTATTATTATTATTGGTGTTGTTGTCCTCCACTTATAAGTCAGAGTTTGTGAATTTCAAGTCTTATTGACACGTGTTTGGAGGATCACAGTGACATTCTTGTGCCACAGTTGCAGGGAAGGGGCTAGGTGCAGAGTGGGCAATAGGACAACAACAGTGCAAATAAAGGACAACATGGCAGTATAGTAATGGACAAGACAATGTAAGACAGGTATTTGATTATTTCCCCAGACCTTGTGTGCATCCATATACCCGAGCCTGAGGGCATGTTTTTGAGCCGGTGTGCGTGTGCTTGAGGTCATGCGTGTTCCCAAGCACGTATGCATGTGCCCACTTCTCCTTGTGCATCCTGTGAGCTTCATTGGGGTCTGGCTTCTTCCCGTAGCTTTGATCGCACTGGCATCCTGTCACATCTCTGTGCTGTCTGTAACCTGGGGGTAACCTGCAGCCACTCCAGTTTTCCCCTACAGTTATCAAATTGTCCATAGGTGTGAATCCTGGACTGTTTTAACATTTCTCATCACACTGGAGGCTACCAGTTGTTTCACTGCCAAGCGAACTGGCACAAAGCAACCTAACAATAAGAAAACGGCACAAAATTACTAGACTAACATGACATGTATCCTGTGTCTTTGGCACCTTTTACACTTGGATTTACGATGCATTATGTGTGATCGGATCACAATTGGACAGTTGAGACACGTGGCCGTTTACACCAGTTAGCCGTAGGAAGAGGATCCTTCCAAAAGAGAACCTCTTCATGCCACTATAATGAACTTGGTCTTCGAATGCAGACACTGAAGGCCACAGCCCCTGAAATGGGACACAGCCATTGTGACGTCCTTGTGAGGGACACGTGAGGAAGCATTAGTGTTTATGTGGTCAAATGTGTCCCGGATCACTTCGGCAGTGGTTAGAGTGATCGGATCACAATGCGTCTTGGTGGTCGTTAACACTTGTATTTAGTGCTGTCCCCTTGTGAACCGATCGCCCAAGTGTAAACAGGGTCTATGATACTGTTCTGCTAGCGTGGTAGACAAATTGTGAACACGATCAAATCAACATATGCAAAAATTCAAGACTTTAGCCTCAGGGACGGAGTAAGGCATCTTACGTTAAATCCTAGGCCACAGCAGAAGAAACGGTTTAACTTCTTAAATTTGGCCTATCGATCCACTGGCGTGACACCCCCTCCCTGATCAGTACATTTCACTGACAGCACTCTCAGCCCCACCCTGATCAGTAAGTTTTATCAATGGCCCCCTGCGCTTTGATTAACATGTTATTGATGATCCATCATTTTAAATTCCCGCTTATTTCTCTTTCAGCTCCGAAAAATAGTTGAAATTGCCCACTTAGGGGGCCCCCTACCCACGTCAGACTGGGGCCACCAGAAAAGTTAGTTGCCTCGGTAGCATCTGGGATAGGTGCGGAACCCCAGACAAATGGCTACGGAAGATGGATGGATGGATTAGAGAAAAGGAATGAATTATAATAATGATAGCATGAGCATTTTAAACCTACTCCTCACTCACTCACAGTCACTTGCTTACTGACACTCACTTGCACTCCTCTCCAGATCTCCTATTCAATGATAATAAAGCAGCTTACCGTGCACCTATGATACCATGAAGATATGGCACTATACAAGGTGTAGCATCACTGGGAAGCTCCCAATGTGTAAGCCGCTTGGCTGATTCCTTGTCAAACTTTGCAGACACATAGTATCATTGAAAGTGTACACCTGGCTACATATTGAGACAAATCACATCAAAATTGAAGCAGCAGCACTAGGTGGCAGCAAAGGAAGAGGAAGATGGCTGTACCTATTACATATTTCTGTGATTACAATATTACCATAGATTTTTTTTCTGTTTAGCTATCTATGGGGCTGAATCTCCAAGGCTGTGCCTTCAATCACACCACTGCTAGGCTTCTTCCATTTCCTCCCACAGTCCAAACACATGCAATTTGGCAACAATACACTATAATATGGCATCCTGACCATGGTGTCCCCTGCCTAGTCCCTTGTGATGGGCTGGCATCCTGACCAGGGTGTCCCCTGCCTCATCCCTTGTGATGGACTGGCATCCTGACCAGGGTGTCCCCTGCCTCGTCCCCTGCGATGGACTGGCATCCTGACCGGGGTGTCCCCTGCCTCGTCCCTTGTGATGGACTGGCA